TATATATATATATATATATATATATATATATATATAATTTGCATATTGCCATTTATCCGATTTCTACAGTACAGTATGTGGGGACTGAAGGATTTTCGAAATTCAGAGTGATTATCATTTTAGCCGATTACTTTAACCCCAAAACATTTTTAATTGCGTCATTATTTATTCCATCTCATGACATTTTAATCCTCTGTACCAGAGGTCACCAAACTTACTCCTGGAGGGCCGGCCTAGTCCTGTAGATTTTAGCTCCATCCCTAATCAAACACACCTGAACAAGCTAATCAAGGTCTTACTATACTTGAAACACCCAGGCAGGTGTTAGGACTAAATTGGTTACCCCTGCTCTGTACAGTCGAGTTAAAAAGTTTTGATACCTTTTAAAATGTAAATGTTTCCATATCAGGATGTTAAAAATGTTTTAATAAGAACCAAATAAGCTGAGTGACAGACAATAGGCACATATTTTATCAGTAAATTAACATAAAAATAGTCTGAAATGTGCTGTGTTATTATCATTAATTGTTTTTCCTTCCGCTTACAGTAGTTCCTTATTTATCAGGAGTTGCCACAGCAGAATGAACCGCCAACTATTCCATCATATGTTTTACAAAGTGGATGCTCTTCCAGTTGCAACCCAGTATTGAGAAAAACCCATACACACACACATACACACACTTTCATGCACTACGGCCAATTTAGTTCATTCAGTTCCTTAATGGCTCATGTGTTTAGACATTAGTTTGGAGAAAACCGGAGCACCAGGAGGAAACCCATGCCAACACGGGGAGAGTACATGCAAACTCCACACAGAAATGCCAACTGGCCCAGTTGGGACTCAAACCAGCAACCTTAACCACTAAGCCACCGTGCTGCCATGTTATTATCATAAGACATCCAATATTTTTAGACAGGGTCAACAAAGGTGGTTTGGTATATTAAAATATATCGGTAAAAAGCAGTGATAATGAGTGTGTTTGCAGCCAATCAATGTCAATGTTCTTTCAGTGTGTGAAATAATAAATAGCACTTAATTAAGTGTAAACATAGACAAAAAAATCCATACTTTATATTCCTCTTTCCTTTTTTATATCACTGTTTCATCTGTTCTGACTTCTACATTTATCCGTGATAAGAAATATGACATGGTTTTCACTGACGAGAACCATTCAGGGATGCACCACATGCAAGACTTATTTTACAGAGTTTAGTTTTATGCTTGTCAGTTATATTTTCTTTCGCCAGTATGCAAGCTTATATAAGCTGAGGCGTTATCAGATCAGGTCAAGATGATCTATATTTTTGTGTGCGAGATATTGACTTCTTATGAGAGTATTTCACACTCTCACTCAGAGATCTCAAAGACTCTATCTTTATGTAAAAAGCAGAGGAAAATGTCAAAAACAGAAATAAATTGATATATTGCAACAAAAAAAAAAATGTGTTTTGAGTTTCACATTACTCATACAGTTGTTTTCTTTACTTTGAGCTATTTAAATTTGTATTTATTTATTTAAATGATAGCGTAATTTTGCTACTGGATAAAAATAATATTCCTCAGAGATTTTGGTCCTTATTGACATGATAGTATCACACAGTTGCTGCAGATTTGTCAGCTGGACATCCATGATGTGAATCTCCCATTCAACGACATCTCTAAAGGTGCTCTATTGGATTGAGTCCTGGTGACTGTGGAGGCCATTTGAGTACAGTTAATTCATTGTCATGTTCAAGAAAACAGTCTGAGAAGATTCATGCTTTATAACATGCCGCGTTATCCTGCTGGAAGTAGCCATCAGAAGATGGAGATACTGTGGTCATAAAGGGATGGACATGGGCAGCAACAATACTCAGGTACTGTAGACTGTGGGGTCGACACGATGCAATTGGTATTAATGGGCCCAAAGTGTGCCAAGAAAATATCCCCCACACCATTACACCACCACCCCTAGCCTGAACCATTGATACAAGGCAGGATAGATCCATACTTTCATGATGTTAAGCCAAATTCTGACCCGACCATCTGAATGTCACAGCAGAAATCGAGATTCATCAGACCAGGCAACATTTTTCCAATCTTCTATTGTTTAATTTTGGTGAGTCTGTGTGAATTGTAGCCTCAGTTTCCTGTTCTTAGCTGACAGGAGTGCCACCCGGTGTGGTCTTCTGCTGCTGTAGCCCATCCGCCTCAAGGTTGGATGTGTTTCAGAGATGCTCTTCTGCAGACCTCGGTTGTAACGAGTGCTTATTAGAGTTACTGTTGTCTTTCTATCAGCGGGAACCAGTCTGGCCATTCTCCTCTGACCTTTGGCATCAACAAGGTATTTGCGCCCACTCAACTGCCGCTCACTGGATATTTCCTCTTTTTCAAACCATTTTCTGTAAACCCTAGAGATGGTTGTGCGTGAAAATCCCAGTAGATCAGCAGTTTCTGAAATACTCAAACCAGCCCTTCTGGCACCGACAACCATGCCATGTTTAAAGTCACTTAAATCACCCTTCTTCCTCATTCTGAGGATCAGTTTGAACTGCAGCAGATCGTCTTGACCATGTCTACATGCCTAAATGTATTGAGTTGCTGCCATGTGATTGGCTTATTAGAAATTTGCATAAACGAGCAGTTGGACAGGTGTACCTAATAAAGTGGCCGGTGAGTGTATATGTTACATCATGTTTTGCAGATATGAGAATATTTTGAAGGCACAAGTTGCAATTAATTTTATTCTGTGGCAGAAATAATCTTCCATAAACAGTAACATATATTATTTTATAAATTGTATTACATCAATTATTAATCTCTGCACATTCTGCTTTGGTAAAGTAGGCTATGCAACTTTTATGTTGAATAACTCTGCTCTTTTAGTCAAACTTTTTAGCCGTTTAATTAACACCCATACG